TAAAGCAACTGTCACAAGAAAGTCAACGTCCCAACGTATCAAATGTTTGCATTACTTAAAGGATCTGGTACAGACTGTAAAAGGTCGCTTAATTCTTCCCGATTTGTGAGTATCTACATGGCATTCCCAATCTTATTGACAACTGGTATAAGGTCATTCAGCACCAGAATTTCCAACAACCTTCATGGCATCACTTCACAACACCCTTGGAGTTGAACACTTGTGACCACTTCAAGAATTTCTCTCCTGTCAATTGGTGGTACTTGCAGTGAGTTCCCTTTTTGAGAGTCCAGAATGCTGTCTGAACACATGTATCACTTGGACCACCGTCACCAGCAGACCCATCGTCAAATATCATCTATCTATCAGTTCTGCTACACCTAAGCCTTTTCAGTGGCTGGACTGGTTGATAGTTGTAACGATCAGGTAACTAAAAATCAACCAAAAAAATGAAGTGAATGAATGTTTTTGTTTTCTCCATTTGGTATTCATTGCGAACTGATGTTAGTTAGGAAACTATTAAAAAGACGGAAGTACTAGACAGCATTACGGAGTGCCAAAAAAAGTTATCATGCTCATTAAACAAACATATGCTATGTGATCCTAAATGTCAAGTGATCCACAATGGAAAGCTACTCAGTGATCCATTCGAAGTGAAGACAGGAGTAAGACAAGGCTGACAAAGTTACCTGCTGTCATCAACGATCATCTTCCTGATTGCGGTTGACTCGACTAGACTGAATCATGCAACAAACTACTGCGAGAAGCGAGATGGGCACACTCTGGCTGGACCGATGAAAAGACCACACAAGAAGATTTGCATTTCGAAAACGATGATTTATATCTAATGTCTTGTTGCACAAACTCGAAGATCTACAGGTGAAAACTAGCAGGTTGACAGAAGAGGCAGGGCAGCGAAGACGGGACTCCATTCAGGTGAACGTAGAGAAGACAGAGGTGACAGATGAAGATACCCAACCAACAACAAGCACCAATCACCATTAATGGGAGAAACCTAAAGGAAGTAGTCTTTTTCACCTACCTACCTGTCTAGACAGCATCGTTTCAACTACAGGCGGTGGCGGTACAGACGAGGATATCAAAACCAGCCAAGATCGGAAAGGTAAGACAGGCTTTCACTAATCTCAAATCAGTGTGGATATCTTCTGCACTCAGCATCAAGTGTGAACAACATCTGGATTTTCAACACCAAGTCAGTCAAGTCAGTGCTGCCATGTGATGGTTCAGAAACTTGGTGCGTTACGAAAAGCACTTCCTACAAACTGAAGACATTTATCAACAGCTGCCTACGCTCAGTCGATACTGAAAATCAGATGGACAGAAAAAACAAGCTTATAACCAATCCAACTAAGAACCTATCACTCAACAAAGATGCTGAAGAAAGTGGATGTACCTAGCTTCTTGTGAGTGATGTCTTCCCCGCTTATACTCAAACCATAGGGTAGGTCACTTCAAACACCAATACTCAATTATGCTATGAACTTATCCACCACATACTGTAATACAACTGGAATAACTGTAGTCAGCACTACATTGAACCAAATGGTCACCCTCTTCACATGTGCCTACATGAACACCAACTGGCTATTAAACTTCACACATGACATTTGATCACTCATTTCAATGCATATGGATAATTATGGACGTGAATTCAATTTTGACAATGAAGAAATTTTGGACAGAGAGGGGAAACACAACGAATATCAGAGAACTCCTAGAAGCTTGGCGTTCAGATCAGTCAGCAATTGATAGGTGTATAGAAATAGACCGTATCCATCAACCAATCAGAAAAATGATAAACCACAAAAGGTCAGAGGTCAAGCAGACGAATAGCCAACAAGAAAATCTACACAATCAGTGACATAACAATCAAAGGAGACAACCAATCACAGATCACATCGCCAGAGTAAACCACTAAATCATTCACGGAGTGATAATGACAGCTTAATTCATATGGAAGTTAGTGCTGATGATGTCGCTGTCTAGAAAGATGATGAAAGCTTCACAGTTAGACAACCCAGCTAACTGAACACAATCAACACATTGTTATACTTGAGAAATAATGTTCTGCACAAACAGCCAGACTTTTCTAGGCATCAGTAGGTTCACATGTGTCGAGAAGGGAAGACACCAGTAAATCTACAACTTTGATTATCTACTTTTCAATCACTTTTCCAGTTGAATACTTGAATAAATTGCTTAGACATATATTTTTACGGAGGAGAAAAATGTTTTTCTGTTCCACAAAAAAAAAAATTATTATTCACAATATTAAAATAAAAAGAATAAAAATATTTCAGTACATGACTTCCTCTATATCCCAGGAAAATTTTTTAATGTAGCGCAGAAGAGTTTAAGGTTAAACGGATATTTAAAGGAAGCGGTATTCTTATATTATTTCAAAGTATTCCTTGTAAATTTATCAAATAAATATGGATGAGTAGAATTGTGTTATAACGCAGAACAATGCAGATAGATATACAATGAAATCGGATATTTGGATAACTTTTGTATAATCATCATTATCGGAATAATTAATAATCATAATAATAATAATAATAATAATAATAATAATAATAATAATATCAATTTGAATTCTTTTCGACCAAAACTATGTTAATTTGATGAAACAACTACTTGTTCAATATTCAATGAACAAACACGCAGACACTCACAGATATTGAATATTGAACTGACCTTTGTAATACAACCGAAATATTCAAAGATGTATGCGTATACAGAGAAACAAGAAGACGGAAATGAAGGAATAAAGAGTGATGATTAACATTATTATTATTATTATTATTATTATTATTATTATTATTATTATTATTATTATTAATCGTCTAGTTCTCTGCCTCCTATTTAATTCGACATAGAATACTAAACGAAAATACCCAGAAAATAATAATTTTTCAATCTTTCTACCGGAAATTATTAATTATTCTAAAATATCTTTAATAATATTGGTGAAACTATGTAAAAATGTTCACATTTTATCAACGGATTAGGCCACTAAAGATGGCAAATAAACGTTGCACTAGCAGTAGATTAGTGGTTTTAGAAGAGTTGCCAGTTATTTTATTATAAAATATTTGTTCATAGGGTTTCTGATGGAACATGAGGATTCACTAACACATCACCATTTCACTCTCTTATCTACACTCCTCTCAACCTGCCTCCACCACTCCCCACAACCTCCAATTACCTACTCACACAATCTCCTCCACGTCACACCCACACACACACCCAATTCGTCGTTTCCCATTCGCGTTCCACTAAACCATCTTGCCTGATGTGTGATGTTCCCAACACCATCTCCTCACCCTACGTCCAATCCAATCCAATCCATCTCCACTTTCTTCTACTACATATCTGTCAGGCGATAGGTTGTTGGTTGGTTGGTTGGCCCACTGCCAACCAGCCAGCTAGCCAGCCACACTTCCTCCTCACTTATCCTCAAGATTCGCACCATTGCATCTCCATCTTCACTGTCACAATCCAGTGAGCGTAGGCGGCTGCTGTTCATGTGATGAATGTCTGTAGTTTGTTGGAAATGCTTTGCGTAACACCCAGTCAAGTCTCTCAACCATCACACAGAAGCACTAGCTTACTTGACTGACATGAGTGTCGACAATCCAGATGTTGTTCACGCTTAATGCTGAGTGGAGTGAACTGCAGTGCAGTGCAGTGCAGTGCAGTGCAGTGCAGTGCAGTAGATCTCCACACTCATTATTTCACATAAATGCAGGGAGGCCTGTCACGCTGTCTTTACCGATCCTGACTGGCTTTCACATACTCATCTGTGCCGCCGACACCACCGTCTGTAGTTGAAACGATGCTGACTTGCCTAGGTAGACAGGTAGGTAGGTGAAACAGACAACTTCTTTTAGGTCTCTCCCATTGATGGTGATTTGTGCTTGTTGATATTGTTGTTGCTGGTTGTGTATCTTCCCCTCTCACCTCTGTCTTCTCTACGTTCACCTGAAGTGAGTCCTGTCTGCCCTCTCTGCCTCACCTGACCTCTTCTGTCAGCTTGGTAGCTTTCGCGTGTAGGTCTTCGAGCTTGAGCGACAAGATATTACACATCAATCATCATCGTTGGCGAAATGCAAATCTTTTTGTGTGGTCTTTTCAACGGTCCAGCCAGCGTGTGCCCGTCTTCTCGCTCCTCACAGTTGTCTGTTGCATGATCCAGTCTAGTTCAGTCCAGTCGAATGGACCACAATCAGGAAGATGATAGTTGACGATAGCAGACAACTTTATCTTACTCCACTCTTCACTTCAAAGCCATTACTAAGCAGTTCTCCATTGTGAATCACTCGGCATGTGGCGTCGTCATATAGTTGTTGAATGAGGCTGATACATGTTTTTGGCACTCCGTAGTGTTGAAGCGGCAGCTGTCTGTCAAATTACTTCTCGGTCGACACTACCGAAGGCCTTCTGAATGTTAATTACAGCCTAATGAAAGCAATTTTACCTTCTTTGGAACAATGAGAGGAGAATAATAATAATTCTGAGGAATAACTATATCATAGTGGAGCTTCGCTACACTTAATTGACCTTGAACTGATGAATCCTGATACATACGTTATCTCACTGAATGTAGCCACGGAACCTAATTAAAATGTCTTCCGGAGAGAAACAACTTATTCTGTTGAATTTTGAAGTTACATCTACTCTGTAATAACAATCAAATATTGGTGTAATATGAAGGTTAATGACCAACGTTGAAGTAGTTTCATGGTTATTTAACTGCAACGCAATTCTGATGTGATTTTTTGATTTCAGCCATAATCATAGTCCATTTCATGTCCTGTTGGGAAATGGTACATACCACGTATTTGAAAATTAATTTATTTGAAATGAACGCTGTCATAAGCATATACAATATGGCTGCCACTGTTGAATCATTGAATTACTGGCAATTTATAATCTTCATCTTGTTTAAATCTTTTCAATATATTTCTTCATTGTAGGAAAAATATCAACCACAGTTATATGTAACTAGCATTTTCAGTTATCCGAAATTAAAGAAGACATTTTCTTTGCCAAGAATCAACCATCAATTTGAAAGCACATCTAATTCACAGATCATTCAATGTTCAAGTAGCAATTCATTAGCAAAGAAATTGAATAATGAAAGTAATACAAAATGTATAAATGAGTATGATCTGACACTTTCAAATGATTGGTCATATTTTTTAAAGGTTCACCTTGAAAATGACCTAGAGAAAGCATTCTTATTTGATATAAGTTTAATACCAGGATTTAAATCACATGGTCAGATAAAATCAATAAAACACCTGCATAAATGTCATGAGTCATATCATATATGTGATTTTCAAATAATTGGTCAGTATCAGTCTACTATGAGTGACGCATTGCATGATAATGAGATGAATGATGATTTGATGAAAAGTGATTCAGTAAAAAATATACCCAATCAAGAGGATTGTGAACGACTTTGCTGGGCAATTCGACAACCGTATACTTACAAAAATGGAGGGTTGTGTATATGCGATAAAAGGTGAGTTCATAAATAGTACATTGTATTAAACTTGGTATAAAGCAGTATACTTAATATTGGCGTCTTCAAAGATAAGAATATCATGTTACAATGCTGATATCTATGTAACCTTAAAAATGATAAAGTTTATTTCTAGAGTAAACTATTAGGATGGTCATTAAAGTTGGGCAACTTTAAAGACCATCCTAGTAACTGCTAAAATGACCAATCAGACTTCGTTATTTCGCTTCGAAAGATACTTTGCACAAAATAAAGGAATGTAATTGGCTGTTTCATCAACTGCTAGGGTGCCTTTAAAGTCACCCGTAGAATCTCAATTAATTGGCATGGTGACATTAAAGGCACCCTAGCAAATGGAAAGAGTACGTTTCGAGATAAAATACCGAAGGCCGATTGGTCAGCAGCAGTTGCTAGAGTGGCCTTCAAAGTCACTCATATCGGCATTTTAGCCTCATAGGTAGTATTCACATGAAATAAAAAAGCCTAATTGGCTATTTCAGTCATTCAAGGTGTCAAGAAAATCTCGTCATACGGTCTGAATATTTTGGTTACCATAGCCACCAAGGTTAGTGCATCTTCCAAACACCTGCTTTGATCCTTAGGTCGTCTAACGTTAACTGATCATCATTAGTTTCACTATCTTTCTTTTAAAAAGCTAATTTACGCATCCCAGTTACATTAGGCAAGCGCTAGTTTGATACTTTCATCTTAGTACTTAACCCAACTACTTAACAGTCTCTAAAAATTAATTCCAGTTCCAAGTTTGTATTCATCATGAAGTGAAGCATTATGAAGAAGCGCTAGACAGCTACTTCTTCCTTAAAGGGTAAGTCTCAGTGTCAGGTACACATGCCCCGTTAAGGAATTGTACCTAGGACTGTGAGATAATCCCTTTCAACACGTTATCATTGAGACTGTTGCTTGCGATCCAATCGTTAAGATTTTCCTACTTCTGTCACTTGGTGATGTCATCGTTGAGCAGTTGTCCTCACGTCCTACTTTTTGCTTCGTAGATCACGAGTTCGAATTAGAAGTTGAGGACATCTCATCTCGAATAGACCCCAAGTTGAAATCAATAAATAAATGCCAACAAACCTGTGAAATATGATCTTCCTAACTGCAGTCCACTCGACTGGACTGAACTAGACTGGATCATGCAACAGACAACTGTGAGGAGCGAGAAGACGGGCACACGCTGGCTGGACCGTTGAAAAGACCACACAAAAAGATTTGCATTTCGCCAACGATGATGATTGATGTGTAATATCTTGTCGCTCAAGCTCGAAGACCTACACGCGAAAGCTACCAAGCTGACAGAAGAGGTCAGGTGAGGCAGAGAGGGCAGACAGGACTCACTTCAGGTGAACGTAGAGAAGACAGAGGTGAGAGGGGAAGATACACAACCAGCAACAACAATATCAACAAGCACAAATCACCATCAATGGGAGAGACCTAAAAGAAGTTGTCTGTTTCACCTACCTACCTGTCTACCTAGGCAAGTCAGCATCGTTTCAACTACAGACGGTGGTGTCGGCGGCACAGATGAGTATGTGAAAGCCAGTCAGGATCGGTAAAGACAGCGTGACAGGCCTCCCTGCATTTATGTGAAATAATGAGTGTGGAGATCTACTGCACTGCACTGCACTGCACTGCACTGCACTGCAGTTCACTCCACTCAGCATTAAGCGTGAACAACATCTGGATTGTCGACACTCATGTCAGTCAAGTAAGCTAGTGCTTCTGTGTGATGGTTGAGAGACTTGACTGGGTGTTACGCAAAGCATTTCCAACAAACTACAGACATTCATCACATGAACAGCAGCCGCCTACGCTCACTGGATTGTGACAGTGAAGATGGAGATGCAATGGTGCGAATCTTGAGGATAAGTGAGGAGGAAGTGTGGCTGGCTAGTTGGCTGGTTGGCAATGAGCTTTGGTATCTAGCCAGCGTGGACAGTTGTTGATGAATGTGTGTAGTTTGTTGGAAATCCTTTTCGTAATGCGCCAAGTTTCTTAACCATATAGCAGCAGTGACTTGATTGATATTAGTGTTGGAAATGTGGATGTTGTTCACGCTGTGTGTTGAGTGCAGAAGATCTCCACACTGGTTTCAGTTAATGAACGCCAGTCTCGCTTTTCTAATTCTGGCTGGCTTTGACGTCCTCATCTGTGCCACCTGTAGTTGAAACGATTCTGCCTAGGCAGGTAGGTAGGTGAAAGAGACTATCTCCTTTGAGTTTCTCCGTTGATGATGATTGGTTTTGGTTGTTTTTGGTTGGGTATCTTCATCACCTCTGTCTTCTGTATGTTCACTTAAAGTCCCATCTTCGCTACCCTGCCTCTTCTGTCAACTTGTTAGTTTTCACCTATAGATGTTCGAGTTTGTGCGACATTAGACATAAGTCATCGGCAAAATCCAAATCTTCTAGGTTCTTCTTCGCGGTCCAGCATATGCCCCTCTTCTCGGTCCTCACAGTTTGTTACATCATCCAGTCGACCACAATTAGGAAGATGATGCGTGATAATAGACGGCAACCTTGTCTTACTCCTTCTTGTCCTCACTTCAAAGGCATCACTGAGCAGCTTTCCATTGTGAATTACTTGGCATATGGCGTCTTCATATAGTTGTTGAATGAGACTGCCAAATTACTTCTCAGTCAACGCTGTCGAACTCCAGTCTTTTCAAAGTGGATGAAATTGATGAAGAGAGTTTACTGCCATTCTATACTCTGTTCTATGCTTATGCATAGCGTTGCAACTTGGCCCGCATATGATTTGTACTTCCTGAATTCAATCAGCCTATTTCGGTTGTAATTTTGAATCCAGCGCATCGTTTAGTCATTAATATACGACTCTATAACATTGATCCTGATTATTACTAACTTTTTATGTTCCAATTGACAAAAGCTGTAACTACCATGGTAAATACTTCAAATTTTCAATTTATTTAAAATTTGAAATTCTATTCATGTACAGAGGGGGTAGGGGGGTAGGGGATATTGTAGCTTTTTTTGAAATATGATCAATGTACAATGGTTAATTATTAACTATTTTTCCCTTTTAGAAATAAACTGTTTATATGCTTATTTTAATTATATTTCAATTTTTTTTTAAAATTATATGAGAATATAAAGTCAAATTGAAAACAATTTTACTAAATTTTTTTCTACCCTTTATCATTATGATTAATTTGAAAGTGAAGAGAGAGAGAGAGAGAAAAAAATCTTTTTTTTGTTATTATTGTTACTGAATAAATGCTATTCGAATTAACTAAAGTATTCATAATATGAACATATAGATGCAAATAAAAGTAACTTTTTTTTCCATACATTTTATAGGGAATGGATAATCATAGGTTTTTTTTAAATATTCTAGTCTATATAATGCAAGTACACACATACACACACACGTGTGTGTTGTGTGTATGTGTTCAACACATCCACACTCCACCCACTATCATTTACACCCATTCATTAAGTCATTTTTATCATTTGAGCTGTTTATTCTCCTATGAGACTTGACACATTTATCCTCTGTTATCATATTATAATATAATCATAGTAGTAATGATAATGACTATTATATCTTTTTGTTTGAAATAATTAGCTGTGTAATTATTATTATTATTATTATTCAAAGTTAACAATGCTGTTATAAAACTGCTTACCCTTATTATTATTTTTAGTATTACGAGTTTATTAACTGTATGATATTATTAATTATCGTTATCCCTTAATTTGTTAAGTATTGTAACAAATATAACTTGCGTTTGTGTGTGTGTGTGTATGTTTGTATCGATTTATGCCCATTTATTTTCGTCTGAATTTTCAGACTCATTAATTTACGATAATAAGATGTGATCGATACAACACTTCACATTAAATATTGATAATAATAATAATCATAATAATAATAACGCACATATATGCATACATACACACACACACGCACACGTGTAGATTAATGAGATGCGTACGCATACAAAGATATTTAGCGAGTTAAACACACGATACAATTTAGATTAAGGAAATAATCTTGATAATTAAAAAGGAGAGAGAGAGAGAAAAATGAATATCGTTAATTTGAACGTGTATTATCACTAAGTCTTACTCATATTGTTCAAAGAAAAGATTATTCGTTTAGTATACTACTGATAATTGTAATAAGTAGTAGACTGAAATAAAAGTTGTTAAGAATTCTATCATTGATGCGAAACACAGTTTTTTCAACTTATTTCCTAATTTTGAGTAGTACTCTTCTCTTGTTTCTCCTTCAATTCAACTTATTCATATTCCATATAATCACTATATTTCACCTATTTATCACCATTATCACAGTGATGATAATAAAAAATAGCATCCAATGTATATGGATGAACAGGTGAGTAATTGAATTTTCTGTGGAAGAAGAGTGTCAAAGAGAAATTGGGAAAGGTGAATGAGTCAGTGTAAGTTAGTCTGAGAAAATAAACAAAACTCATCCATCCACACACACACATATATTGATCTTGGTGAGTAGCAGAGAAATCTAGGAGATGCGTTTCGTCCTGTTTGGGACTCGTCAACTGGATGTCCTTCCACCCCGGTAGGGAGTGATGTTGTTCCCAGTATCCTTTTCTTCAGACACTAAAGCGTTATCCACTGAGGCATGATAATCACCTTTTATGCAACGAGTGTCAGTTGTTGCAATGATATATGTAATTTCCCGTTGCTATACAAGGCGGAATTGTTCTGACCTCTAGAATTATCATGTTATTATTATTTTTCCCTTGGGTTCCTAGTGGAACATAGGGCTTCAATAGCACCCCTCCATCCCATTGTGTTCTCTGCAGTCTTTTGAACCTCGCTCTACGACTATCCACAAGCTTTCATTTCTTCCTCACATGATCTCCTCCGTGTCACCCTCGCCTCGGAAGCTCCTTGCCTATTCTTTCTGGCCATCTGATCTTCAGTATCAGTATCGAGCAAGCGTAGGCGTCAGCTGTTGATGAATATCTGTAA